TTGAGCAGAAATACAGCATTTTTCCAATGCTGGGAATCTTTCCCCATTATTTTTCTAATCTTTAAAAGAAGGCATCTCTGTAGTATTTTTATCCTGATGGTGTGTCTTGTCTGGTTTGAAAAGGCTTTTCAATCAATTGTCCACAATGCCTGCCTCACAATCCGAAATGTATTGCTTCTGTAAAGGAATATGATAATCTTTCTTGTTGAGACTAATGGCATTGACAGGTTTGTGCTCCAAAGATAAAATAAAGATGTTTTCCTTACCTATCATTCTGCCTTAGTTTGGCATTTTATCTGCAATATCTAGATGAATTTGTGCAGCTCAGTTAATACAAAAAAAGTTGGCTAATTCATGAATCAGTGCACCAAGCCAATAAAGGCAACTGGGTTAATTCAGTAAATTACAGCATAATTTGTTGTATGAACATGAGCCATGGTTTTCTAACATTATTCAAACTCAGGAACTTGCTCACTATTTGTTATGGGAATGTAGCGTCCTGAGTAACAGCATACACTCTAGCGTTTTGATCATCTCCTCATTTACCCCAATTCCATCCAGTTCATGAATTAGTCAATTTCAGTAGCAGGGTCCTCACTGCCAAAAGTGAACTGTGAATCTGGAAATCCTAGCTGTGGGGCTGACCCACAACCATTTCCTAGTAAATTTTGCTCAGGGTTTTTCCCTAGATACTTTCCAAAAATTAAAATGAGATCACTTACCCTTAAATGGCAAGACACTGAGCAATGACTCAACCAGTAAGGAAGTAATGTATTCAATAAACTCTCAGGCATCCTGGGACTCTTACAGAGGCCACAGGCAGTCTGGATGATCTACCCAATACCATACTTATAATCAGCTTTCCTATGGAAAATTACCATCTTCTAAATTTCTGGACCATTCTGCATATTAATGTGACCAGTTCTTAGTCATTGGAAGTATAGGTCAAATTATTAGACAAATCCTATATTGTTTAGTTGACTGGCTGTCTGACTTAATTATCTGGGGAGAACAATCAGGAAAATTGTATAAACACATTATGTATGCATGTCTATTCCTATTCCTACATTTGGGTTTTGTAGCTCCTACTTAATGTGCAACTTTTTTGGTACTGTAAAATATAAAGCGGTTTACCATTGCCTTCTCCTAAATAATGAACTTCCCTATTGTCACTAAAGAGATTTTCCATCTCTAGCATCTTCCTATATATTGGGCAGCTGGAATGGCCTTCACACCATGGATTCATATATATATATGAAGCTTCCCTTAAAGAAGATTGAGAAGCTACAGCTGGTCCAGAGTGCAGTGGCACAGGCAGTGGTGTGTCATGTTATGCCCATGTGACATCCTTGCTTCTTAAGTTGCACTGATTGCCATTTGGCCTCCAGCTACAATTCAAGGTACTAGTTGGTGGGGGGGGGCTGTTAAAAAGTGCCTGTGCTCCCATGCTTTGGATTAGGGTGAACACCGAGCTTCTGTTGCAGCATTTTGTTTCGTTTTTTGCTCATTTGGGGTTATGTTTGGTTCTTCTCAGCATGGTGAAAAAAATAGGACTATGAATGAATAAAGGGACATAGTGGCTCAGTGGCTAAGACGCTGAGCGTGTCCATCAGAAGGTTGGCAGTTCAGCGGTTTGAATCCCTAGTGCCGCATAATGGAGGGAGCTCCCGTTACATATCCCAGCTTCTGCCAACCTAGCAGTTCGAAAGCATGTAAAAATGCAAGTAGAAAAATAGGGAACACCTTTGGTGGGAACATAAGAGAGTTTTGTGCACCTTTGGCATTGAGTCATGGTGGCCACATGACCAGGGAGAGGACAGAGCTGGCTCTTCGGCTTTGAAATGGAGATGACCACCGCCCACTAGAGTCGGGAACGATTAGCACATATGTGAGAGGGGAACCTTTACATTTACCTATGAATGAATATAAAGAAAACCAACTAATGATAAAAGCCAACTTTAGAACTGACAGTCAATGTTATGATATTTAATTAAATAGCTGGAACAGTAAAGTGGATAATGGGCTAGAACACACAGGGTTAATTGATTGGTTTGGAGAGTGCAGGCTTCTCATGAGGCAATCTATCTTGCTGGGTCTAAATGGGGAGTTTCCTTCTTTCCCCAACGTCTTCAAACAGAGTTGACTCTTCAGCTTTGAAACGGAGATGAGCACTGCCCCCTAGAGGTGGGAAAGACTAGCACACATGTGCGAGGGGAACCTTTACCTTTTTAAAATAGCAATTAAAGGCTTGAAAAAGATAGTCAGATGTTTGAATGTATCTATATCTACAAATATTAGAGCTGTACAGGAAATGCTTTTCCCTGTCATAGTTTATTGAAGCAAACGTTAGCAGAAGCAGGATATAAAGAGTATTGATGTTTTTGAGGTTTATTGTTGGAGAAAATGCCTGAAACTACCATGGTCAGCCAAAAACAAAAACCAAATGGATCAGTGACAAAATCAACAAAAAGTTATCACTCAAGGTACAAGTGACCAAGTTCAAATTATCCTACTATGGGCATATTATGCAAAGACCTAGCTCTCTGGAGAAGTCTACCATAGTGGGAAAGTTGGAAGGGGGGGGGGAGGATAATTAGAAGCGAAAGTGATTAGTGAACCAGGAGAAAGACAGATCATCATGGATAAAATCTATGTGGTCACTGAGAGTCAACAGTGACTTGATAGAATATAAACAATCAGATCCTATTTGGTGGTGGTGATATACTGTTGAACCCCTTTTGCAGGTACCTCTCATGCAGCCATTGACAATAGTAGATGGCCCAATTATCTTAAGTTGTAACCAGCATCTTCGATTCTTATGGTCTTTTGTTACATTATCATCCAGAATGATCAGCTGGTGATGAACTATTAACAGGGAATTTTTGTATACAGTATTGTTGAACGCTCTGACACCATCACTTCCTAAATTTGGAAACATGACTCTCCTTCAGCTGACAGAGAAGCAGATATGTGAGAGAGTCTCTGTGTGAAAGAGAGTGAGTGGGGGTGTGTGCAAAAAAAAGATCCCTAACATTAGGTTTAAAAGAGACAACATGGAAACATTAAAGTTGTGCATTTCACAGCAGAAAAGATACTTACTGCTGAATGCAGAACAAAATCAATTTATCACCTATGGCATTCTTAATGTCATGAAAAAAAAAACACTGCCATAAATTTGGTTATCTGGGTTGCCGCATTATTCTCTGCATAGCATCATGTTAACCAAATTTGTTGTTTTCGTGGGTTAGAAAGTTTCAATTGGATGATTGTTCAATGTCTAGCCAATGGCTTTTGTGGTTTTCTAGTTTTCTTTAGTGAAGAACCCAGCATTCCACAGTGGTGCCTACCGATAAGACCCCACCACCACCACCAAAGTTACAGTCTCAGTTCTATGTCATTGTCTGGACCTCCTGTTCACTGTCAAGAACCAGGTTACACAATCCATAGGAGCAATACGACCTCTTAGCATAACTCAAGCAGCACTGTGGCTGCTTCAGAAAAAAACATTATATAAAAAACAAAAAACCAGCAATTTCATCAGGGGACAAAGGATTAGATATTTTGTCTTCCATTTGGCTTGAATAATAGCAATAGCAATAGCAGTAGACTTATATACCGCTTCATAGGGCTTTCAGCCCTCTCTAAGCGGTTTACAGAGAGTCAGCATATTGCCCCCAACAATCTGGGTCCTCATTTTACCCACCTCGGAAGGATGGAAGGCTGAGTCAACCTTGAGCCGGTGGGATTTGAACCGCTGAACTGCTGATCTAGCAGTAGCCTGCAGTGCTGCATTTAACCACTGCGCCACCTTGGCTCAAAACAGAGCCAAGAACAGAGGTATAACAACCATACATTAATTCTTCTTCCCTAAATATGTGTGGAGAATGAAGAAAACATGGATAGAGGGAAGAAGTCTGGGATGTTATCTTGCCCATGTCCCTAGCACCAGTGCCAACCCAAGGCTCAGGGATCATTTGATCACAGAGGTGTCACAGGGCACAGTTAAAAGAAAATATCAACAGGCCACTCATGACTACGTCATTGAAGCTCTGCCTGTTTTATGTGTGAGATATTTTGATTTGTTACCGTTGCCATCTTGACTTTTTTGACCAGACAGTACTCTGCAGCTGCCTCTGGTTAGTCAATTCAATCTATCTTACCTGATTTGTGATATACAGGCTTCTCTGAAAATGCTGTTCATATGTACCTCCCGGTTGTACAGGACATAGTGGTGCAACTTTCTAAACACTCACAGATGTACCCTGTTCTGGATTACAAATTTATTTGCTACATTCCTGGTGATCCTGTGCAAAGGGCATCTTAGGGTTAGGATTCACACCTTTTCATTTTTGGAAAAGAAGAGGTGGCAAACAAACAGAGGAGATACCTGATCTACCCATGACGGTCCTCTTGGTTCATTTTGTGCCAGAGAAATCAAATTTATCTCCAAAATGGAAAGAGACAATGAATTCAAGCTTGCGTTTCTATGCAGCTCTGCCACCATTGAGGCAGATGAGATATTTTGAGCGGGGAGGGGGGGCGCAAAATAAGTTTTGCTGTAAGGCAGGGTTGTCCAAACTCGGGAACTTTTTTAAGACTTGTGGACTTCAACTCCCAGAATGGCTGGCTGGGGAATTCTGGGAGTTGAAGTCCACAAGTCTTAAAGCTCCCAAGTTTGGACACCCCTGTTGTAAGGTATGGAGTGGTTCCACTTCCGAAGTTTTATTCCGAAGAGAACGTGAGAAAGTTCCTTCATTCCGAAGTAGAAGTGTGAGCGGACGCCGCCCTCTCGGCGCTGGGACTACCCCTTCCTTCCAATCCAACCCACCCCCGCGATGCTTTCAGGAGAGCAGCGGCTCGCGGGGAAGCCGCAACGGTGACCCCGGAGTCTGGCAGCGATATCGGGGGCGGGCGGCAGAAGGTGGTGCTTAATCTTCGGCCGCCCGCCCGCCGAGCTCCTTTCCACTCAGGAGCGGCCGCTCCGCCAGTTCCCCGCGATGATGGACGAGGCGGGCCGTGGAAGCACGCGGCCGACCCCGCTCTTGGACAACAAGGGACAGGAGACGACGGTTCCGCCGCATTTAGGCGACGGCCCGGCTATCTCGGCGGTCATGTTCACCGCCGGCGTGCTGGGCAACCTGACGGCGCTGGTGCTGCTGGTGCTGGCGCGGCGCCGTCGGCTAGCGCGGCGGGAGCGCCTAGCTCCTTTCCACGTGCTGCTGATGGCGCTGGTGTTGACCGACCTGCTGGGCACTTGCCTGCTCAGCCCGGTGGTGCTGGCGGCTTACGGGCGCGGACAACACAGACCGATGCGGCTGGACGGGCGCGACTGCCACTACTTCGCCTTCGCCATGAGTTTCTTCGGCCTGACTACCATGAGCTGCCTGGGCGCCATGGCGCTGGAGCGCAGCCTGGCCATGGCCGCGCCGTACCTATACGAGCGGCTGCTGAGCGGGCGGCCCCTGGCGCTGCTGCTGGGAGCCCTGGCCGGCCTCTACGGCCTGGCCGCCGCCTTCTGCGCCCTGCCGCTGATGGGTTTCGGCAGCTACAAGAACTATTGGCCGGGCTCGTGGTGCTTCATCGAGATGTCCTCCAATGGCAGAACCAAGGCCTTTGCGTTGCTCTACGCTTCGGTGCTGCTGCTGCTCATCCTGGCCGTCCTGCTGGGCAACCTGGTGGTCATGGTCAGCCTCTGCCGCATGTACCTCAGGCGCGCGCACACCCGGCTGCCCGCCGCCTGCCGTTGCCCCACGCTGGGCGCTCAGCTGCGCGCCTGCCGCCAGCCGGAGTCTCGCGGGGAGCGCGCGCAGGGTGCCAGGAGGGCCTTCTCCATGTCCGAGGAGGTGGATCACCTCATCCTGCTGTCCATCATGACCATCATCTTCGCCGTCTGCTCCCTGCCTTTTACGGTGAGTCCCTGCCCAGTTCGAGCAAAATTGGAATTTGAAGCGGCGACCTGGCCTTTGGCTGGAATAAGTTGTGCCGAACAGCAGGGTGGGGGGTGTACAATAACTTTTCCGTACCTGGTGCCCTTTGGGTTACCCTGGGCTACATCCCCTTTTACCATCCTGGCAAGGATGACAGAATATGTAGTCTTGCACAACTGAAAACTGCTGGGTGGAGGAAAAGGAGACATACATACACACACAGACTTAATTTGGCTTTTTGTTTGGCCTTCATATAATGAAAAAAGGAAAGAAGTCCTCAGCCCGTGATGGCTACTGTATGGGGGATCACTCATACAGGGCAGCATTGCAAAAGTGGTGCATTGTTGCCTCCTCTGGGAAAAATTGTCAACTTTCCAGTGAAGACTACCGCTAATGGTCTTCCATCCAAGAAACTATATGCCCAACATTAATTAATTTCTGAACCCAGGGAAGTGCAGCGTAGTGCTACTGCCTGGCCAATCCTAATTACCTTGAGTAACATTAAGAAAGATCCAATTTTGATAGACCACAAGAAAATATTGAGGGTATTGTTTGGCATGCAAGCTGAAAAGGTGCTGTAATATTCTTCCATTGTTGGCTATATATATATACACATATATACACATATACACACATATACATATATATATATATACATATACATATACATATACATATACATATATATACATATACATATACATATATACATATATATACATATACATATATACATATATACATATATACATATATACATATATACATATATACATATATACATATATAC